ATTTAAAATCAACTTATTTTTCCCTTAAAATGATAAATTTTCTCAGTTTAAACATTTGATATGTCATCTATGTTGTATTCTGAATAAAATATTGAAATTTGAAACTTCCATATCATTGCATTCTGTTTTTATTCACAATTTGTACAGTGTCCCAACTTTTTTGGAATCGGGTTTGTATAAAAGAATTAATATTATACACTATAATTTAAATGTGTGTATATATATATATATATATATATATATATATATTTGTGCATTTGATTTGTAGATTATTATGCAATGCAAATATGTTTCTTATGTATTATATTTATTATTTGTAAATATAAAAATAAAAGTATATATAAAGTATGTACATTTGTAAAAATATAAAATAGAATTTAAAAATATTTTATATCATTTTACTTTTCTTCCAGTGAACACAGCACATAATGGGCGAGTGAATGGATTGTGCTTCACAGCTGATGGACTTCATCTCCTCTCTACTGGGACAGATGATCGCATGCGCCTGTGGAACAGTGGCACAGGGGAAAACACATTAGTGAGTAGCAGTTAGGACTGTTTGAAGACTTTTTTAATACCTAATATCTGTTTTGTATAAGAGTATATAAAGAATTATATTTTAAGCCTATGTTCATGCAGCAAAATGAATAAGTCTTCTCTCATGAGTGTTACTGGCTTTCTGTGGATCAAAAGAGTTTATTCCAAAAGCAGCTTAGACAGAATGTTACCAGATAGGAAAACCAGATAAAATAATTTGAAGTCACTCATGTGTTTTCCTAAACACTTTCTTTGTTAATGACAAGAAATATGTTCTTTAAAAAATGGCTATGCTATGTACTAAAAAAAAGTATTATTTCTCATCAATAGGTGAACTATGGGAAGGTTGTGAACGAGAGTCGCAAAGGCCTCAAGTTTACTGTATCGAGGGGCTGCAGTCCAGAGTTTGTGTTTGTGCCATGTGGCAGTTCGGTAGCGGTGTACGGGCTTCACTCGGGAGAGCTGATCACTATGTTGAGGGGACATTATAATAACGTAGACTGCTGTGAGTTCCACCCAGACTATCAGGTAATGTTGATCCTGATTATTTGCTTAGCGGTTTAGTCTTTACTGAAAAACTAAACAAACTATAAGTATGCCATTAAGTAAAACAATTTAAAGCTTCTGAGGTCTTGTAATTATTTAATGAGATTTGTATTAGTATTAGCTCATAGACTCAATATTGACTGTGAATCTGTGGGCTGTGTTTTTAGGAGCTGTACAGTGGAGGTAAAGATTGTAACATCCTGGCCTGGGTCCCAGTGCTGAGACAGCCTGGCATTGAGGATGATGAAACCAACTCTAAACGGGTAAAACAGTTTGAGACATTCTTTTAGTATAAAACGTATTACATATTTCATTGGCTCTTATTTAGATTTTTTTTTAAATCTGAGGTTGATTGAATTAATGGTGCATCTTTACGACAAATACAATGTGTTGTGGATCAGCTGTTTATATCTTTACAGATCTGCAGGTTTGGACTACTGTAGGTGGGGCAGAAAGTGAATCCAAATTTGTGCATCATGTAAACACATTTTGCAACCTTGCTCACGTCCCTCAGCCAATAGATAAGATCAGATGAGCTGACAAAAACTATGCCAATTATGGCATGTGTTCAGATGCGATTGCTGTCAGTCATGGTTATACGTGAGATGTGCATGTTAGCTGGAGTCACATCTTGATGGCTTGTAGTTTATCAGTCACTCTATGTTTTGTGTTTAACATTATGCTTTACCAGTTTTTCTGGCAAAAAAAATCTGGTACACATTTAAATAATCACATTGTATTACTGCATTACTGATGCACACATAGTAGCTATTAGCAATTACATGGCTTAGTGATATAATTATTTTTTTAGCAATGTATTTAAAAAAAATATTAATTACATATACACAACAATATACACAATTTTTTAAATGTTATTTCTATATTTAAAAAAATTAAATGTATTATTATTATTATCATTTATATTATATAATATTATTTATTATTATATTGTGGTTTGAGATGTATTTGGAAACTTTTTAGGTCTAAAAATATTAATTCTAAATATATTTGCCATTTTAGTTTTGCAAAGTGTCACACAAAAATATTTCTAGTTTTCATAAAGTTTTTTTAAGGTTTATTTATTTATCTATTTATTTATTTTGCAGTAATAGCTGGAATTTATTCAGCCACAACTTATTCACAAACTTATATATGCAACTATGTGCCCTGTATCATCTAAACAATAATTAAACATCAAATAACTGAATTGTGTAGGCTTGATAATGATTCAATGTTTAATGTTTCTGCATATTCTGGATACATATTTTTACAGGGTGGAACACAAGCTGCTATCAAT